GGAGAGGTACTCTCGTACAGGTATAGGTTTACCCTGATCTAAGAAATATGACAGTTACTCTCATACTGCTATATGTTTACTAGGATTTAGGAAATATGACGGTTACTCTCATACGGGTATAGGCTTGCCAGGATTTAGGAAATTTGACAGTTACTCTCATACAGGTATAATGTTTGCCAGGATTTAGGAAATATGACAGTTACTCTCATACAGGTATAGGTTTGCCATGATTTAGAAAATATGACAGTTACTCTCATACGGGTATAGGCTTGCCAGGATTTAGGAAATATGACAGTTACTCTCATACAGGTATAGGTTTGCCAGGATTTAGGAAATATGACAGTTACTCTCATACAGGTATAGGTTTTCCATGATTTAGAAAATATGACAGTTACTCTCATACAGGTATAGGTTTGCCAGAATTCAGGAAATATGACAGTTACTCTTATACAGGTTTAGGTATGCCATGATTTAGTAAATATGACAGGTACTCTCATACAGGTATATGTTTGCCATGATTAAGGAAATATGACAGGTACTCATACAGGTATAGGTTTGCCAAGATTTAGGAATAATGACAGGTACTCTTATGCAGGTTTAAGTTTGCCATGATTTAGGAAATACTAGTATGACATTTACTCTCATACAGGTATAAGTTTGCCATGATTTAGGAATAATGACAGTTACTCTCATACAGGTATAGGTTTGCCATTATCTAGGAAATATGACAGTTACTCTTATACAGGTTTAGGTATGCCATGATTTAGGAAATATGACAGGTACTCTCATACAGGTATATGTTTGCCATGATTAAGGAAATATGACAGGTACTCTCATACAGGTATAGGTTTGCCATGATTTAGGAATAATGACAGGTACTCTTATGCAGGTATAAGTTTGCCATGATTTAGGAAATACTAGTATGACATTTACTCTCATACAGGTATAAGTTTGCCATGATTTAGGAATAATGACAGTTACTCTCATACAGGTATAGGTTTGCCATTATCTAGGAAATGTGACAGTTACTCTTATACAGGTTTAGGTATGCCATGATTTAGGAAATATGACAGTTACTCTCATACAGGTATAGGTTTTCCATGATTTAGGAATAATGACAGATGATCTCGTACAGGTTTAGGTGTGCCATGATTTAAGAAAAATTACAGTTACTCTCATACAGGTATAGGTTTGCCATGATTTAGGAATAATGACAGTTACTCTCATACAGGTATAGGTTTGCCATGATTTAGGAAACATGACAGTTACTCTCATACAGGTATAGGTTTTCCATGATTTAGGAATAATGACAGATGATCTCGTACAGGTTTAGGTGTGCCATGATCTAGGAAATGTGGCAGTTACTCTCATACAGGTATAGGTTTGCCATGATTTAGGAAACATGACAAGTACTCTCATACAGGTATAGGTTTACCAAGATCTAGGAAATGTGGCAGTTACTCTCATACAGGTATGGGTTTGCCATAATCTAGGAAACATGACAGATGATCTCGTACAGGTTTAGGTGTGCCATGATGTAGGAAATCTGACAGATATGCTATCATACAGGTATAGGTTTAGCATGATCTAGGAAATGTTACACTTACTTTCATACAGGTATATGTTTAGCATGATAGAGGCAATGTAAATCTAATATTGAACTCACAATTCAGTATTCTTGTTTCATCGATTTGAGTTGCTCCGTTTCTTAGCAACAAATCGATCATGTGAAGGTGATCGTTCTCGGCAGCAAGTTGTAATGCTGTGACTTTGTAGCTACGACGGGTACCTTCATAGTTTATGTCGAGATTTGGTTGGTTCTTGAAGATCAGATTGTTAAAGAAAAAGAGCAAAAATTGAAACTGATAAATTGTGCACAAGAACATATTTCTTTTATTAAGATTACCTTTTGAATGGAAAGGAATAAAGCCAATGTTACTGACTCTCTACTAAGTGTACGATTTGTAATTCATTCTTAACTCGTTGTGACAGCTATCGTTACATTAATGAGAATAAGTTGGATAATTGGTTCTCGTCAATGCGTGTATCAATGCTAGAAAAAGTGGGGTAATAAAGATTAATCCATTCTTTACCTTCAAAACGTTTCTTACTCCTAATACGTCGCCTTTTTCTGTTAAATCGAGCAGTTTCTCTTCCGGGACATTCGCTTTCTGATTTAGGAAATCCTCCGATTGAAAACTGTCTATACTCCACAGACTCTCTTCGAATGCGAGTTGGAATACTGTAGAATAACGTCTTGTGACTCTGCAGTCGACTTTGCGTGGGTTCTTGGGGTTGGCACCGTAGCCTATTTCTTGTAGACATCTCTCCATTAGGTCTGCACTCAGGAAGGCGTGCTTGGTTTCTCCACTGGGAATAATGTGTCGATTATCTGAAATGATTAAATAATTCTGATAATTGCGGTCCTATACAGTGATTGGAGTTGGAACAGGTTTCCACGTCGTTTACCGAGTGTGCGCATGCGTACTGGAGCCACTAATATTTTTACTCTACAATTACGTTCAAGCGGGATGGAGTCTACATTCATTTGGGACAGTCCTCAAAGCAAACTTGTTTACACAATTATATCGAACTTCATACTGTAATTCGAAGTGCAGATATTCGTTAAACAGGTTGTCGCCACGGCTGCGTCTGTTTCGACTATTGCGCATTGCTCTGGCATGCATAGACCCACATATAACTTACGCAGTCACGACAATCCCCGTTTTCGCGGTAGATTGTCCCGATATTAACGTGCCAAGGAAAATGCACGGAACGTTATATTTATTACAATGTATATATTAGTACAGTGTTATTCATTGTCATGATTACACATTGCAACATTACTATTGTGTTGGAAATAAAGTCAATATGTATTTATCATAGACAATAAATCAATATATTGTTCAACTTATTATTAAGGTGTGAGTTGAAACTGAATGAGTAATTTGTGTTTTTATGAATTTATTCATGAAATTAAAGGTCTATAAGCCAGTAAATGAATGCATGATTTGGGTATTGGTGATGTCATATAAATTATCATCTACCTGTCATCTATCTGCAATGCAATACAACCATGAATCATAGACATAAATAATTGTGCGTCCCAAGGCTACTATCGAAAATATCAATGTCAATTCCACTTTGATAATGCGGGTCAGTACAAAATTAATCAACTTCCGATCTATTATCGGTTAATGTTATTTTCATATTGCCCTGACAACCTAAGTTGTTAAAGATTAAATTTGACATCACAAAGAACACTTTGATTTTAGTAACTACATAAATACGATCGATCCGTCAGAACAATTCTTCAAATTTAGTGTTTATTGCTCCCTCTTTCAATAAAGCTGTCCTCGTGGACGAAAAATAAAAAATAAAAACGTTTCTATATCATTTAGGTTGATATAGGGCGTGTAATTGTTATTTAACACGAAATTGCCTTAAGAAATAATTACGCATCGCCATATTAAATGTCATTGCCTTGAATCGCGCTTTTTAACTCATGACGCGCGGGTCTGATAATTTATAATGTTGAATGATCAACACAATATCGGATTTATCAAATGTTGACAATACGCAACGAGATTGAAATTTAGTAATAACAATATTACCGTTGCCACGCCAACCACACATCACTTACCCATATTGTTCCGTTGATATATCAATCTACTGAATATTCGAAACTATACTTAGGCATGGCGCTCACGTCTGAAATAAACGTACACCTAAGTAGGCCAAGAAAACGTCTTAGCATCAATAATACTTGTTTACATCATATCGCGGTAAATTTCAAAACCTGTGTGGGTCGGATCCCTCGTGAATTAATGGAATTTTCGTCATGCATTCTGTGTCATGCATTCCCGGCGGGAAGTATTCTTAATGGATTTACATCAAAGATTGTGTCAACCTAGACAATTCGTGGCCACAGGTGCATGAATAATAGACGAACCATCAAGGGAATGAGAACTCCGCGGGTAACGATCGTTTAATGTAATACGAATCATCGAATAATATATTTGTAACGAGTCGATGTTTTGATTTCAAAAATATGCATGTTGTACTTACAATGTATACGGGTGATGCGGGTCTATCATGTCATATTAGCGATGACTCTTTCAGTTTAAAACAATATTATACAATTTATCAATAGAATAATTGGGCAGAATGAACAATGTCATTTATATTCATGCGATGGACAAGTGTAATACCAATCAAGGAAACGTGAATAATATATTTGTCGATGATTAAATAAGTTAGTTTGATAGCGCATCTCGATAAAAAATATCATGGCTTGATTTTTCGTAAAATAATGAAATATATTTACCTATACGTACAAGTAAGTCCAAGCGCATGCGTACTAGTGTGTTTGTTATTCTTTTGCCAAATGTGCGTTTTCACTTTGGGATAATTAAAAACCTATCAGGACGAAACATCAAAAATATCATACTAAAAAAATCCAAGTTATCACATTGCATCTTTAACATGCAAGGCAGTTTAATTTTTGCTGTATTCGGAGTCGAATATCGATCCTTTACCCTGAATACGATACTCCAATATCCATTTTTACAATTAAAATGTCAGAATGAATAGCAAACAAAATTAAATTACAACACTAGAGGGCGATGATACCATCAATTGGTGATGAATCCTCGGGGGCGAACATCCGGGCATTTTCTACCGCCTGGCAACCCTCGCGGTGAAAACAAAGACCAAAAACTCGCAGAAAACGGTACTTTGCGATGGTTGTTGAGAGTCCTCTGAACAGTGTAACAAGATTAGCCCTACGTGTGTAACATATATGGTTGTTCAGGATTACTTTTAAGTTGAGTTTGTGTTGTTTTCTCGAGTTTTCACCGGCTCCACCGTCGTTCCACAGCAGCGCACACAAAGCCCATAGAAATACGTGGTACAGTGGTGCGCGTCTTAGCAACGTAGAACGTCCGTGACGTAGCCTCGCCCCCGAGGATAAAATGATATCGCTTAACATTGAGGGAGCTCTTGCCTTCTGAAATTTGGACATGAATCACATTTTCCACGAGAAATTTTGTTTTTGTTGTTGAAAGATATTCATTCGCCTTGCCAACTTGATTGACCGAACATCACTCTGCAGTTTTGTTGCTTCGTTTGTGATACAGTTTTCATCTTCTTGTGGTTTTATCAAGACACCGAATCGAACGCAGAATTATCTATTCGACGATCGAAGCTGGACTATATTACAAAGCCAATATTCGATCTGAAGCTTTTTCCACTAAAACTTGTCGGAGTTGCACACTGCACCAATGAGCTGTTTGGTGGTCATTAGGTCCACCCCTCCCCCTTTGAATTTATATGACGAGTATTTTACTCATGTAATCACAGTATCCGAGCCAACTCGAACATTGCGTACCCCCTAGGTTAGTTGTGTTTAGTGCTCTCCGAAACAGAATGCATGATATGATTCATTGTAGTGAAGACAAATAATAAATTAGTGGGAAAAATGATGCAATGGGTCAGGCTTCGATCAGTATAATTCTCGAATACTGCAAATTTCAGATTTCATTTTTTTATAAAGTACTAAAAATTAAATTACTCCCAATTTTACGTTTTGCCGACAATACAACTTTAAAACCTATTGTAAAGTTATAATATTTGATGATGTTAACACTCCTGCCAGTTAAGATGTCCGCGTGTAGTTTGTCTCAGAAGCTTGCACAGTGTAACTTTCTGGTTCAAGTTGAAGAACCCGGAATCGCGAGGTGTATCACCAGTCCACGCTCGGCCTATAGATGAAGATGAAGTCAGTTCACCGCCTCCCACCCCATCACATGTTTTGGGGGCCGAGTCTGACTCAATCAAATATCTGTTATTCACAAAGAATTTGTCAACACTACTGTACATATACAAGATGTCTTTCAAGAACTATCTTTTTCCAGTGTTTATGTTTCCCAAGAATTTTTATATTTATATACAGGTGAGTCATAACAGATTTTTATAACAGTGTTAAGTTCTGCACTCTCGTGGGACAGTGCCATTGGAATCAATTCTGGATTTTGACTGATTTCATTTGTGTTTGTGGTATGTTTTACTTTTATTATTTGTGCACTAACTAAGTTTGAATCTTATCGGCCTCTCTCACTACTAAGTTGTTTCAAACCCTTTCCAGCCGTCACTGTAAAAGCTTCGACCCACATTTTTGATACCTGATACATGCAAAAAATGTCATTCGTTTTCATAAAACAACTACGGATACATATGTGGAATTACATATTTTTTTGCAAATGGAATTAAATATTTTTAAAAGTCCAATTACATAAATATGAAAATTGTAAATTGCATATATATACGTAAATCAAATTACACGTATATTAAATTAATTACATATATATGTGAAAATCTAATATATACGTATATACAGAAATAAGCACGTGTGGAGGCAATTTAAATTATACCTTGATATTTCAAGATGTATTAAATCAATTACTGTTCATTCGGACGAAATGTATATTGTGTGTGATTTGTTACAGTTCTAGTACATGTTTAGATGTGACTGTTATTTTCTCAGAATTTTATATAGCTACTGATCCAATCTCATGTTGAAATAGAAAAAATAGCATTATAATATTTACACTGTTGACCATCATAACGGACAATTGAAACGAACACATTGTATTTAAGATAATACTATGCGAGTTGTCACAATTCCTGTACATATTTAGTGTTCGATGGAAGGCTTGATCAATTGGAAAGGTATGTGTCGGAATAATTGCATACGAAGTCATAAGTCATAATTGCATACGACAGGTACGTGTGTTGTTTCATTCTGTCGACGTGTAATTAAACAGCCATCTCTATTATTATGTCATTATTTTTAAACATTCAAATTAATAAAAGACGTTATAATCAATTTCGTTTGCCCTTTATTAATAACCAGCCTGTGCCCTCCACCATACTGCACCATGCATTCAATATAAACATAGATACACTTTACCGACATCACTGTTCTAATAAAAATATTAACGACACTTACAATCTGTGCTTATAAATGTCACTGTCCTGATGTGTTGGAATACAATTACCGAGGATAATAAATATTAAAATTCTAATCCATTTTATTCATATATTATTACTGTATGATAGTAAGATCTTTCTTATGTATTGTCGAGGAGACTGTGTGATCTAATCAGTTGTCGAACAATAAATCGTATAAATATATTATAAATATATTATAAATATATTGTATAAATAAATTGTATATCCGTTGTATTGTTTGATTCACATACTCATAACAACGAGAAAGATGTGTTTCTATGTACGTGTTATCGTATTTATATTAACTTATTTTATACCAACTTAAAATCATATTTATATCAACTTAAAACCATGTGTATATTAAAATAAAATCATGATTCGGTAAACTTATACGATGCAATACATACAAACAAAAGTATGATGCATTTGTAATATATTTCTAAAAGTGTTTACCGTATTGTTTTGGCAATATTGATTTCACAAGAGTTTAGTTACAACCAGCACATTTGTCACAAATATTCCTTCATTTAGATACCATATTTACTTCTATTATGGTGACATATGGTCATTAATTACTAACAACTTTAAGCAAAGCTATCCCCTAACACCATCACAATTAACTGTAAAATAAATGTAAATTCTTTTGTTTTACAAATGTTGTATCTATCAATTATGCATCATCATTCACCCGTATGTCTGTTCGTCCATGTGTCCATGCATCTATACTTGTCTGTCTCGTCGTATGGAACATGGCATTTTTTTCTAAGTAGGTATTGCGAATAGTCAACTGTATTTAAAAAATTGTTCTCGTCTGGTTTCAGTTGAGGTACATGCATCCTTAGTTGGCGGGTATGCTACACTTTCGTCACGGGCTTGGAAGTAGCGACATAGAAGTAACTTGGTCAGCTAGAAGAAAAACAAATTGGAAATTAACTTAAGTTAGAATGCTACACAAAAGTAAAAATATTATCATTTTCTTTATTTTCACATATTGGATATATCAATCACGAGGATTAAGGAAATGAAATAAAAATATAGGAATCACCGTACTCAGTTCAGAGAAAATAACATGTTTTCTCTGTTTGCAGGGTATTTAATATTGTTTCCTATGGCAAGGATGTATCTCACAATTTTGCTCGGTGACAAAAAGATACACAATGTCTTACATGGTACTCTTTGATGTCTATTAAAAAAATTAATGTTTTCAGCGGGGTTTAGTAGTTCGATACCATTTAAACATGGAAAAAATAATCACAGTAAATCATTCACGTCATACATATTTAAAGAAAAAAAGAAGAAAGAAGGATGTGTTTCTAAGAAAACATATGCAAAATAATCTAAAAGCGGCTATTTGAAACGTTTTCTACAGGATTCCGCGTGAACACATTATTTCATGAATAATTACACTAATATTCAAAATTCTTCAATTTTTCGTCACAGCCATATATAGCCCTCATAACACTACACATCACTTTTTTAGCATTGGTCCCCGAACAAAATTGTGATATATAATGTAATGTTTCTGCCATAGGAAAACATTGTAAACTATTCATAAAACGCATTTTGATCATTTTTCTGGGGGGCATTATTTCAGAATTTCGAACATTACAGTAACCCAACTCTTCTTGCTAGATTT